TTCTTTTTTGCAGGGAAGAAATGTTACAAATTGCTTACACAGGTCAAGGTCAATTCCCAGGGTTAGCAGTCCTCCACTTCACCTCTTAATAAGAATAGGAACTCTGATTGGGGTCTCAGGTCTAGGCACACGGATCTCTATTTCTGCTGAAAAGATATAATCATTCCCAAAGTCCCAATGCTCTGCTTAAAAGTGTGGGCTAGTCAGTGGCTGTGGCCCTAGCTGATAAACCTTAAGTGCCAGACATGAAAACTGAGACTACTGCCTGTATTTTAAGCACAAAAGATAGGTATAGTAAAAGGCATTATTCACCACCTAAGGTAAACAATAACTTTATGAGATTGCTGTGCGGCAAAACTGTAAGTGAAAAATCACATAACTGCAGAAGTTACTACTTTAAGCCATAAGTCACTGAACAACTGAATATTCACACAAGTTGAAAATTTAAAGAACAAAAGTCTCCTATGACTTTACATGCATTACACATTCCTACACAAAGAATGACTCTCAGATTTATGATATTTCTTGAGCTCTGTCTTTCTCATAATAAATGCAGACTAAATCCTAAAAGCAAGTCCCATCAGATTGAACTGCTAAAACTCCACAGGATCTGTTTTATTCTGAACCAAGTGGAATTATATTTAGAAAACTCCCATTTTTCAAATCTTCCTTTCTCACTCTGCAAGTTTCAGAAAGTCCCCCAAAGGTAACTATGTGATCAGAAGCAAAGATTGAGATCCTAATTTGGTATCTGGCATTACATAAGTTAGACACACAAGCACAACTGAAGCAGTACTCTGATGAAAACAGAAAAACAAATCCCTGACTACAGACTATAAAATCTGTAAGTAAACCAAAGAAACATTTGAAATGATGTAAGATCACTGATAAAGCCACATGTAAACAACTGCAAAAGGACACAAGAGGGTAACCGTATTGGGCGTGAATACATACTGCCCTGCTTCAGCTTCTACCCGTGGAGCCTGAACACCCTTTTCAAGGGTACCTGGCATTTCAAGGTGCTGGATATTATACAAACACACCCCATGGCAAATAAATGAGGTACGGCTTTGGTCCTGTCACTGAACTTAACAAAACAAACACTGGTTTTGCAATAGTCATTTCTTAGTATGTACATAGTATATGTGTGTGTGTGGTGGGGGGAGCTATGACAAAAAGAAAACTCTAGTCAAAAGAGCAGTAAGTACTTCTGGGATCCTATTAAAGGATGAACCTTTTGGGAAAACCTGAGGCTTACTTTTCATCCAAGACTCAGCTGCCTGTGCACCTGGCACTAACTGTAACATGTACTCAGTGTTCCATCACTGACTAGCATAATCAATACTCTTCTTCAAATCTACAAGTTTTTCCCAGACACCAAAGAACTTAGTCCTCACACATGGTCGATTTGGGTGAGTCACTGGGCAATTCACCTGTGTGCAGCAGGTTCCTTAGCTCTGGGCACAATTCCACATAATCATCCTTAGAGCTTAAGATGACTTTCCAAGTTCAAAACCTCAAATCCCTTCCATGTATAATCAGCCCAAACCTGGGAACCATGACTACTTTAGTTCATTCAAATACGTTTGTGTTCCCAGAGGCCTGGACCACAACACAATGTTATATACCTGGAGTGAAGAAATCCTGTATTTCCAATTAAGAATTTATCTATCTAGTGTGACAATTAAGTGAATGAAGAATAACCCTGTCCCCATTCTATGAGATTAAGGTGCCTAGGCTGCATTCCTAACTATCAGAGTACAGCCATGGAAAACTTGTTGGCAGAGCAGACACCATGGCTAAATACATACACCATTCACTTTAATACTATCGTAAAGTCTGGCAGCCTAAAAGCTCATTATTCCATTGAGGTTCAATTAAATGCTTCTCTTATACAGTTCTACTTCTCCTTAGTTCCTAGATGACCACAAAATACAGTTAAATCTGTCCCAGCACTGTAAATAGAAACCATCTTGTCACCTGTATGGCTGAGCACTGCCCAATGAAACCAAAGGAGACATATAAACAAACACACTCAGATAAGTTACACTACAGAATGAAGGTTTAAAGACCTTATATAACAACCATAAATTACTCCAAATTGCTGTACATCAAAAGAGTCTTTGGCACTCTGAGTGCTTCTTATACTCAAATGATAAGGAAATTTCATCGTCCCAGGAGGCAGACAGGTGTTTGCAACAAAGATAAGAGACTTTCAGAAAACAAAACAATCAACAGTGCTAATGCAAACGTGCACTCCCACAATGCCCAAGTAAAAAGTCAGGATGGATGCCAAACTGAGACCTAACACACTGCCAGAAAACCTCTTCCCTAATCTCCTTCTGTGCTTACTCAAAGAAGAGTTTTGTATTAAAATGATACATGTAAGATTACATCAGGGCCACTCCACTAATTTGACATATAAAATGGTAAGCATGGGAAGATGATGTAACACACATATCACTAGCAGACGTCTTCTGAGACCTGCTCCAAGGCCACAGCTCATCTATCTACAAGGAGGGACAGAGAGATGAGGCCAGACAGACATGGAAGTGACCACACGTTTGACAAACACCCTGACACTAACTATCCAGGAAGCCTTCTCTCTTTAGGGTTCTGACTGCAACTTGGACATTTACTAATGGGAATGCAAGAAGGAGAAAAGGGCAGGACAGCAGTGAGTGCTGAGCTGGATAGGTCTGATAAGAGAGGCTGGAGCAAATATGTTAAAAGGTTAACATTTGCTCTATCTGCACAATGCGTACACAGAAATCTACTACCTATACTTGCATGCTGGAAGTATTTTATAATAAGTTAAAGTAAAATTTAAGTGAAAAGGAGATACAAAAGACACAAATACAAATGCATGTTCTGACATTAGCAATGCTAAGTGACAAAGTCCAATTGTGCTGCTTTGGTTAAGTGTAATTGCCAAGCAACACAGTAAATACACAGAAGCCTGCTGGGAACACTGAAATCCAAGATAGCAAACACTAAAGTTAGACCTTACTTTTACATTTTAGTTTTACATTTTACTATGAGATAGTTCTTTTGATACTATCTTGTTGACAAAAGGCACATCAGGACATTTATTCTTTGCCAAATGAACATACAAGCCCATATTTGAAGCTGTACTGAAGGATATGTACTATTATTTAATTACAAGTATATTTGTTCTTCTAAATGAAACCCAGAAGGCATAAATATGGCAGCCTGATTTTTAGTGCTAAGTTGGATTCAGGGTGTAACCGACGCAGACGTCTAAATTTCTGCTGAGTGTTCAAAAACCAACAGCAGGACTTAGGCCTGTGCTAGAAAACACAGCTGCTGTCACAGAGAGAAAACTCCAAAAATACACAGGCTTCTTCTCCCAGATCCTCTCCCAAATGGCCCACACCAACAAAGGAATGAACTGAATAGATAGCCGCTTAGAGCTGACCCGGTCTCTGTGGGCCTTGTCACTAGTTTCTCCAAGTATCTATTTTGATATTTATATACTTTGAGCTCATTACATTAGGGTAAAAGACTGCTAATACACCAATTCTGTAGTTACATACTAACATCTCATCACGTATAAAAAAATCATAAAAATATCACAGACGTTGCAAACTGTTAATACAGAAGCCAAGCCTGGCCCACAGACATTTTGCTGGATTCACATTTCATTAGAAATTGAATGCAGATAACACTCATCAGAGTCTGAATTTCTGTATCTGAAGACCAGGAAACATTGAGCCCTTGTACTTACCTGGTTTGAGCTAAACAGTACCTGCTCAACTTAAAGAAGGCCTATTCACCATGGATGGCCCCACTACTCCCTGTCACCACACCATGAGCATCACTTAGTTACCCACTTGCCTTGCTTTTGTAGCCACTATAATTTCTGGCACAATTCCACAGGCACCACACTTTGGAGGTAATGGAAATGAATAGATTCTCCGTAGAATGAAATTAGGAAGCTGGAAGGAGACAGTGGGAAAGAACGTGGATTCTGCAATTTTGAACTCCAACAAAGCTAGAAGAGAGGAAGTACAGCCAGCACCAGAATCATGCTCTTCCATGAGCCTGTACACACCACCCTTATGCTGCCTTGTAGCACAAACATATACAAAATATGTAGCATTCCAGACTCTGAACAAAGGTCAGTATGGCTTAAGAGAGCTGTTTGTCTCTGCTCTGATACTGTCTAAGGATTCTTGGAGATGTACTAGCTTACTTTTGATGCAATGTTTCCCCACATAAGCCAACCATGGGAATTCCTTTCAACTTGCTAATGCAAAAGCATTATGCCCAAACTGTATCAAGTAAACTAAGCATCCCACTGTGACATTCTGTAAACCAGGAGGAAAATAAATTATGGCTAGGAAAACCAAAGTATGTTTGACACAAAGAGGAGAAATTATTCCTCTACACAGAAACAAATGTCAGATACACATACCCACAAAAGATGCAAAGATAGACTGTTCATTAACTTCAAGAAAATATAGATGTGCCTATAGCAAATGAAATGTCTAAGAACTGTAATAAGCTTTCTATCATGCATAAACACTTATAGCCACAAGTATGATACAGCTCAGGATATATTATCACTGCACATACACTGTTTTTGTTTAAATTTTGCAGTACAAGGGTTTGAACTCAGGGCCTCACACTTACTAGGCAGGTGCTCCACCACTTGAGCCTCTCTGCCAGCCAGCCCACTCATGTAATGTATTAAAAAGGAAGAAAAGGTACTGAGTAGGAAGTTTCCTGAATCCACAGTCTATTAGTCTTAAGACTCTTCATTTTATCCAAACCTACTTTTCCTGATCACAAGTATCAAAGGTCATGTTCTTATTGGTGTCTAAAGAGTTTTTGAGAAACACTTTACAATCTGAAGAGTCTTTCTCCTTAGAGTGACAGGATCATTGACAGAAAAAATAAAGGCCACATCCACGCATAATTTCCACATCTTGGTCTTTTCCTCCCACAGACAGAAAAGAAGTAGGTTAAAAACTCACTGCAGAGAGCTGGCTCCATGTGGACCTCAGTGGCTCATGGTGAATCACAATTTTTTCTTCTGACTTCTGTTCTTTGGGCTCTGATTCTTCATCAGAGTCAATGTCAAGGGCCTTTTCTTTGTAGTTTTGGTACAGGACTGCATTCTCTGCAAGAAAACAAGCCTGACACATCACCAATTATCCCCAATCCTGGGCTACTTGTTCTAAACAAGCCTCCGTATTTACACAATGCTTGGTCTCTGGCTTAGCTAACAACAGAAAGAGAGGCAAACATGTTTCATCACTAAAGAATAATATATGATATTCCAACTGAAGTAAAGTTCCTTTGTCTCTGTCCACTACTCATGAAAGATAGCCAGGCCTCCTAAGTCATTGTTCTTAGGGCAAATTGAATCCATCTGCTACATTTCCTTCAAGGTCCATCACAATTCACTTATCTAATTAGCAAACATTCATTTTATGTCTACAATGTGCCAAGGTCTGATAGTAAAATGGAAAACAAAAGACACCTCTAGTGCCCTCATTAGCTAACAATTTAGTGAAAAAAAAAAAAAGCCAAATTCCTTCATGCATTTATTCATCCACTTGACACTTAAAAAATGGCTAAGAGGTGTCAGTGAACTGTCAGGCAGTGGGAATACAACAATGAACAGAAAAAGATTTAAAAATCTCAATCTCTGTAGAGCTGACATTAAAGTGAGAGAGAACTGCAGTGAATAAACAAGTAACTTCTAGTTTTTCAGACATGGCAATGTGTCATGAAGAAAAATAAAATAGGAAAAGGGGTGGGAAATGCTGGGAGAAGAATATGTAAACCTCAAGTAGGGTGGTTTAGAAAGGCCTCACAGAGACAGAGAGGACATTTAAGCTCTGATGAGAGGTGAGGGTGGATACAAGGAAGATCATGCTGGGCCTCACCTCAATGCCATTGAAAGGACTTTGATTTTCACTCCAAGTGTGATGACAAGCCATTGAAGGGTTAAGGACACAATGTTCTCACTACAAACGGGAGGATTTAATACAGATGCCCTGAGAACACACTGTCAGCAGGGTATGACCTAGCCTGGGGGTCAGGGAGGTGTCAAGGAGGAAAATCTCAGTTCTGAAAGTTGATAAGCAGCAGAGGATATAGTAAGAGAGAAGAGGAAGAAAGGTGAGTGTTGGGGTGAACAGGATCTCTCTCCCTCTCTCCCTCTCTCTCTCTCTCTCTCTCTCTCTCTCTACATATATATATATATATATATGAAGATAGCATAATACAACCCACTAAATACTATTTGAAAAAATGGGGAAGAAGGCTGGGGGGGTAAAGGGAGTATAACAGAAGGGATGAATTTGATCAAAGTAAATTGCACATATCTATGGAAATATCACAATGAAACACCTTTGGTTCAATTGATGTATGCTAATAAAAAATACATAAAAATTTTTAAAAGCTTTTTAAAAAGCCCATGTACAAACTCTGAAGCAAGAAGACACAGAATGCCTTAGAAGCACTAAGCAAGTTAAATGTGGCAGCAGTGAGAGCAGTCTAGGGGTCAACAGTGCAGGGTGGGTTTAGAGATGAGACCGAGTCTAAATGAAGCAGGGTTTTCTAAGGCATGTCAAAGAAACGGATTTTACTTTGAGTAGAAAAGGACTGGGTTTCTTTCACACTGTAATGATTATATTTTATCCTGAATGCAACAGGAATCCACTGGAAAGAAAGATTTGTTCAAACTGGTAAGGAAAATATTGACTACCTAAAAGACATTAGTATGCTGTTTGGTGGGGAGGGGGGCCAGGTGGTCCACGAAAGCTGATGTGGAGACTTAAGCTTTGTGAATTACCAGATTCTATATTTGGGCAGAGAGAGAGATGTGTTTCCTAGTTCTTCAGTTCCCACAAGTGAAAAGCAGAAGACAGGAACACCAGAAGAGATTCAGGTTTAATAGGGGAGATTAGAGTCTGGTTTGGGATGTAGGGAATTGGGGACGCTTTTCCCAACTACTAAAGGAAGCAAATGTCTACCTCTTCTCTTGTCAACCACACACAGCTCTGTGTGCCTGTGTCTAAAGCAACACTGGTACCTATGAAAGACTACTACTACTGTGCTCTGATTATTCTGCATATGAAAATCAGGTAGGCAAAACTGATCCCCCCAAGTACTTACTGGTTAGCGCAAAGTATACGTATAACATTGTTGATATGAGTTCTCATTCATTCCCACAAGAACATGGGCAGCAGAATTATTATCCTCATATGACACATGGTAAAGCAGGGGCTGAATGTCACTCAACTCACAAGTAGAAGCCATAGGACAGGCACCCAGCACCAGAGGTTCTCACCACTGGACCACACTGCTCCCTGTTAGCCATTAAGTGTTAAGAATCCTGCATTCTTCACATACGTATGTGTGAAAAAGGATTCCTATGTCATCAAACATGAGAACAGACAAAAGAAGATACACAGAAACAGCTCCTTATGAAAGGAAACAGGGCTTGGTGCTGTGGCTCACACCTGCAATCTTAAGTACTCAGGAGGCAGAGATAAGGAGGATCATGATTCAAGGCCAGCTCAGGCAAAAAGTTCACAAAATCCCATATCAGCCAATAAAATCTGGGCATGGTGGTACAGGCCTATCACTCAGCTGCTTGGGAAGCATAAATAGGACCATGCACCAGCCCAGGCATAAATTGAGACTCTCTTCAGAAAAATACCTAAAGCAAAAAGTGCTGGGGGCCTGGCTCAAGTGGCAGAGCACCTACCTACCAAACATAAGAAATTCCATTCAACCCTCAGTGCCACTAAAAAGAAATAAATACATAAATGGCAACACCATAAAACTAATTAAGAACGAAGGGCTACCCTCTGACTTTAAAAAAAAAAAAACAACTCAAAAACTTCAAACCTCTGGAGCAAAAGCCACAGAATCAAGGTCAAATTCCAGGGAATGTAAAGCTTCTCTTGAAGTGATGTTAGGGAGGTGCTCTGTTCACTTCACATTCGTAAAGTGTACAAGGGGCAGTGAAGTGCACTGAGAACCAGACCTGAATCCTAGCGCTGGCTGTGTTACCAGCTCTGTGATAGGGACAAGTTAACTCTCAGAGCTACCAGTTCCCTCAATTATAAAATCAGGGAGATGAATTTATCTCAACCAGCTTAAGTACTGAATCTGGATTTTTTTTCTCCATATAGCAAATTGTTTCCAACAACTGTATGATGAATGAAGTCTTACAAGTTAGTCATCTTTAAATGCCCCAATGGCAAACCCATCTTTATAGAAATTATACAGGGAAATGTTTCGCAACCACCTGAGGTCATATATTTTATAACTCTGTGGTTTTACATCAGCCTTACTTGTAGAAGGGTATAGGCTGCTTCATCGTTCTTCAAAGGTAGGAAAGCCTCAGCGTTTCAAAGCAGGACAGAATAAGTTCCCTCCCTCATCATCCCCAGGACCCTCCAGGCCCACCCAGGAGATCTAGAGCTGGGATGGCCCCTCCAGTTAGCGGACACTTGACCCATCTATTTATTCAGAAATCCACTAATCTGATTAGGGCTTGAATGCCTGGTTGAAGCTGCTTTTGGTTTTGAAAGCCTTAATAAAAATACTATATGGGTTACAAACTCTTAAGAACATGTCTTTCTCAGCCAAGAGAACTATATTTCCCTGAAGCTGAAACTTAATAAGGAAACAGGAAGTGAGAAATGAAAATAAAATGTGGAAAGATAGTGAAAATAATATTAAGTCAAAGGAAATGTGACCTAAGGAAATGACTGAGCCCTAAATGCCAAACTCAGAATTTTTAACTAAAGCTACAACTTGCTCTTACTTTCTCTGGTTTTTGAGGGAGATGAGGATGGAGCCAAAGTAGAGAAGAATTAAAAATTCCAAAACACTGACTGAAAAGTAATCAGCTTATAAAAACTACCATTAATTTTATTTATTGTTGGGCACTCCTAGATAAAAATCTAGCTTAGAAAGCAGAGCTCTGTACTGCAATCTGGGAAGAAGTTGAACGTATTTGTTACTGCCGATGGATTTCAACTTATAATTGATATTCCACATTGAAGCCACAATAAAAGTCTGGAAAATTAAATGCTTACCTTCCCCGCCAAATGTTCCCTGTCCTTTCAGCATTTTTTTCTAAGAGACAAGAAAAAAAAAAGAAAAGCAAACTATGTATAAATGAGCAAAACAGAAAATACATCTATTACAAATAAAAGAACGTTTTTGTCCATTAAGTTCCAAAAGCACATAGCAGATGGTCCGTACAGTTCACTCATAAGACCACTACAAGTCACTGAAACAGTAAAATAAAGTGTACACTGTCCCCCACACTCTGTTAAAATACACTGAGAATCCTCAAATGACAAGCAGCTCAGCTCACTTCACTACTCATGATTCACCATCACTGTTAAATTGAATTTTTCTATACTTGCAGAGCTGGAAAAAAAACATATAAAATGTTGTATAATGTCTTTTAAAATAAAACAGACTTGCTTGTATATTACATATGTGACATTTATATAGACTGCTTCCAGCTCTCTGGTTAATAAAGAAAAAATGTGACTGTCAAAAGGAAACTTTGCCCTATTGCAGATCTGTCCTGTTTCTGAGCAAGGCAGCACACAGTCCAAAACACCCCCTCTAGTTTTCTGTGTGTCATACTTGAGATCATTTTAGTAAGGGAGCAGTACATCACACCCTAACATGAAGATTTATGCTACTTTGCTAAATGCATTCAAGGATTAACGGACATAAAATGGGAATACCACCAAAGGCCATGGTGATAAAAACAAGCAACAAAAAAAGATAACGCATCTTTCCTGATTCTGTTGATTTCAAAATCCACACTTTACCTGAATGACATCAACTGTGCAATCACCATTGAAAAAGGAAAAGCATAAAACAATTAACAAGGCTCCAAAGGGAATGGGTGTTTTCCTCAACCTGCTGTGACAGAGCTACCACTGACCCCTCCAAACAAACAGCAGGCAGCATGACCACAGCCAGGAGTGTGGAGATAAGCAAGCTCCCCAAGCCCTTTTGGCTGCCCACGTTCAAAGTGCTCAGGACTTTGAACTGGTTTTAGCCAATTCTTAACTTACAGTAAAGCACTGCCTTTGTTCCCCAAATTTTGCCTTAGCTTAGAGAAGTGATAGGAGCTTCACTTTCTCCCTCAAAGTTGCATTACACTGAGCTGTCCAGCCAGCAACCGAATGGCCAAGACCCAAGCGTGCACTGGTATCAACACAAAAACAGAGCTGAAAGAGAATAACTTCTTCTGGTTTCCTCTAGGCTCCTCCTCCCCACCCCCAGCGCATTCACTTTGGGCTTAATAAATGACATGCCACACTCTTACCTTCATCCTTCCCAGACTGGAGAACTTCTCCTTGTCTTCCACCACTGCCTTCAGCACAGGCTGGGACAACCTGTTCTTCTTCTTAGAGCTAGTCGGGCTGTCAAAATCAAAGCCACTGACCACTGCCCTGCGGTAGGACGTGGACCGCAAGCCCCTCCGCAGGGAGCCGGGGCTATCCATGTCGTTCTCGACCTCGCCCTCGTCCCCTGCGTGGCCCAAGGGTGCTCCGAGGCCCTCCACCACGCTGCGCACCTTGAAGAGTCTCTTGTGGAGCTCCCCATTCTGACTATTGGATTTACTCAGCTTAATTTCCGAGGCCAGGCTCTTAGGAATGATCTGCTGCTTCCCCACTTTGAGGGCGGCGGGGCTGTGTGTACTCAAAACCACGGAAGGATTCTCGGGGAGCTCGTTCTCCTGGGAGGGCAGCCTTTGGAGCGGGAGTTTTTGTTGTGAAGACCTTTGCTGAGGCGCGGGAGAGAGTCTGGGGGGTCCCCGTTCGGGGTCCTTAGCCGTCTGACCATATTGAGAACCGGGGCGGGGAGAGTCGCTTTTAGGGGCAAGGCCATTGGTCGTGGGAGAGGGCACCCGGCTGGCAGTGGACCGCGTGGGATCCTCCTCGGGGGCGCAGGGGGCGGGAGCGTTAGGAGTCCGTGCGGAGCGCGCTGGCGGTGGCGGCGGCGGCAGCGCAAGCGAGGTCACCGTGCCATTCGCTGGGGATTTCGAGGGGCCGCCCGACGCCGCTTTGGGGACCTGGGGTGACTTGGACCGTCGGAGCAGAGGAGAGGCAGCTCTGTACTCCGGAGAGACTGTCCGACCGTTGGCCACCGCCCTCCGATGGGCGCACAGAAGCAGCGGGCTCCTCTGCACCGTCCTGCCGTCCGGGGCGGGGGGCACCAGGGCGGGGGACGCCTGAGCCGCAGCGGGCGCCCCGCGGTCCTCCACCGGGAAGTCCGTAATCAGCAGCCCACTGGGGCTCTGGTAGGACTGGGGTCTCGGCTTGCTCCAGGCCAGCAGCTGGGGCGGAGGGGTCGACCGTCTCCGCCACAAAGGGGTTAGGCTGCCCCTAGAGAAGTCCACTTCGCTGTCTCCCTCCATCGCGGGGCCTCGGGGTCGACCCGGGAAGCGACGCCAAGCTGGTCTTGCCTAAGAGGGAAGAAGTTATGGAACTTTGCCTCTCGACAACTTAGGCACGTCTGGCGGTCGCCCTGCGGTGGCGCGAGGCGCAACTGCGCAGCACTTACCCGCCCTTTCTCCGGCGAAAACTGCACCCACTTCGCTGCGCGATGCGGGTAGAATGGGCCGCCGCCCAGGCGGACTAATCCAATCACCGCGGCGTCCCTCCCGCGCCCCAAGACCACCCGCACGGGACGAGCCCGCCAGCGAGCCGCCGGGTGGAAGCCGATGCACAGCAAACTTGGGAAGAGTTCAGCTTTCTTGGGAAGCTGGCCACGGAACTCTCCTCTCCGCCGCCATCCAGACTCCCGCATCCGGAATAAGTCCTCCAGCTCTCAAGATGCTGTTCCCAGCGCGCACTGACCTCTCCGGGCTGCCAGGGCCCGGGGCCAAGGTGCGCCCCCCGCCCCGTGGGTGGCCGGGTAGGGAGCGAAGCGCTGCGCTCTGCGCGGGCGGGTTTTGCTGCCGCCAGCGGCGTCGGCTCCGCCCCCATGTTTAGCCACGCCCCCGTTTTGGCCCCGCCCCACCCGCGGAGCCATGGCGTCCCGCGCACGCTCAGCGCTCAGCGCACGCGGGTCTCTGTAAGAGATTGACTAGCACACCTGAGCTACATGGCCCGCCCGCCAGGACTGAGAGCTTGGCGCTGCGGGAGGGCGGGGCCGTGATCTCGAGCCCGGCGTAGGAAAGAGCGTGGGAGCCCTGTCCAGGTGCACTTCTTATCCTTGAGCCCCGGCGTTGACACGGAAGAGCAGGGGTTGGGAAATGCGTGACCCAGGCGGAAAGCCCTGCTCGGAAGCATTAGGCTGTCTTCAAACACAGATGTGATGATGTCACTGCCCTCTTTAAGATGCCGTATACCACAGGCGCATGCGCGTGTGTGCACCTAGAGAATAACCCGGTGGCTAGGAAACCGTTGGAGAGTTTTCACTTAGTAGTCTTTGGACCTTGTATGCTTTAAACCTTGAAAGTTGCATAGTAAAAATAAACGCAATTTAAAATGCAAAATATTTATTGGTTTCCAATTATGCATAGTGTAACATTCAAAATCCATATGTAAAATCACCATAAGAAAGGGACTAAGAAAGAAAAAGAGGGGATGAACCAATTCGGGTTATAATATATATATATACATATAAATGTCACAATGAAACACCCTAATTATCTTAAACAAAATTCTTTTTTTTTTCCAAAAATGGAGAACAGGGGTTTCAAAAAAAAACTGTCTGGGGGTAAAAGAGGGGGGATATAAGGAAAGGGTGTAGGAGGTGAATATGGTAGAAATATTATGTACACATGTATGTAAATGGACAAATCAGACCTACTGAAACTATTCCAGGAATGCGGGCAGGGGAGATAAAGAATGATAGAGGGGGTGAATTCAACTATGATGCATTGTAAGAACTTTTGTAAATTTCAAAATAATAATAATAATAATAAAGAAAACCACTCAGATGTCATGTGGCAGAGGGATTGTTGGGGACAGAGGAGAGTCATTTCCAAGCAAAAAGACTGCCTCAGTCAAGGAAGTTACAGTGGGGTGGGGAGGAGACAGATGCAAGGGGTGCCAGGAAGACTGACCAGCCCTCCATGCCTGCAGGGTCTGCATCCAGGGATCCAACCAGCTGCATACCAAAAATGTTCAAAAGAAAGTTGCATCTGTACTAGACATGTAAAAGAAATCCAATGTAGAATAAGGTAATCTTCCTTGGACAGAGGTTAAGAGACCCTACATAACCGGCCTACTTCTTCAGCCTAGTCTTCCTTCCCTCATCATTTGGCCACACACTAGGTTTGACAACTCCAGAAATTTCTCTTTTGTTCCTTCTTGACCTCCTTTTGACGGTACTGGGTTTTGAACTCAAAGCCTTGCACTTGCTATGCAGGCACTGTGCTATCTGAGCCAATTCAACAGCCCTTTTCTGTGTTGGGTATTTTTGAGATAGGATCTCATGAACTATTTCCCTGGACTGGCTTCAAACCTGGACCTTCCTGATCTCTGCCTCCTGAGTTAGCTGGGATCACGGGCATGAGCCCCTGGTGCCAGACTCTTCTTGACCTTCCGACTTATCACTCCATCAGAAAAACTGGCCTTCCTCCTGACCCCTCCTGAATTAGACCACTGCCCTTTTGAGTGTTTTCACTAGCCACCTATTCTCTTCCTTTTCCACACCTACCAAAATTTATAAATGTGTTTATATATTTCTATATTTGTGTGCTTATGTTTAATCTATTCTGCTTTTATACTACAGTCTTCAAGAGACAGAGGCCATGTTTGTTTTCCTTATATATCCCAGGCACATACTGGACACATTTGTTGAATGAATGAATGATGTAGTTCAGTGGTAGACCATGAACACAGACCCTGGGTTCAATCCCCAGCACCAAAAGAAAACAATACAAGAGGAATGAAGTTAGGACAGTGACCATTTCTCCTCAGTGTTCAGTTACCAAATAGTAGAAAATTGGTAGTGTCCTGGTGAAAGTGCTGATGTGTATTCCCATAAGGCAAACTTGAGGAGACATGATTTTAATCCATTACATCCATGTAACTGGTTCTGTTAGCAAGACTTGTGGGTCCTCCTCCAAGTTCTCTTTCAGCATTCAGGTGTTGAGCACCATGTGCAAGGAGTGCTGCTTGGTTTTGCTCTACATATGTTGAATGTGATGACCAAATGATATCAAAGAGATAGTCTCTGGGTAGTGAAATGGCAGGGTAATACTGTCTTCTAGAGTACATTTAGATGTGTTCCTTCTGTTCCTATTTTGTGGAATAGTTTGAGTGTAATTCAGAAGTGAATTCATCCAATCCTGGACTTTTTTTTATTGCTGTTTCAATCTTGCTACTTGCTACTGATCTCTTTGTGTTTTGTATTTTTCTTGGTTCAATTTTGGAAGGTCATATGTGTCTAAAAATTTAGCCATTTCTTCTAGATTTTCCAGTTTATGAGATAAAAGTTTTCAAATTATTGCCTGTTAATCCTCTGAACTTCAGTGTTATCTATTGTGATGTCAACTTTTTTGTCTCTAATTTTATTGACATATCTATCTGTTTCTCATCCTTATTCATCCTTTCAAAGAACCAACTCTGTTTCACTGTTCTTTGTATTCTTTTCATTCCCATTTCATTAACTTCAGCTTTGACCTTTATTATTTTATTCCTTCTACTAATTTTGGAAATAACTTTTGAGATTGACTTTGTCTTGTTTTTCAAAGACCTTGTGGTATATCATTGGATTATTTATTTGACATCTCTCTAAATTTTCAATGTACCCATTTTTAGCTGTGAACTTCCCTTTTTGGATCACTTTCATTGGACTCCACAGGTTCCTCTATGTTGTATTTCCAGTTTTAGTGGATTCTAGGAAGTTTTTTATCCCTCCCCTGATTTCTTTGATAACACAGTGATTGCTCAATATCCTTGTATTTGTACAGTTTCTCTTGCTTCATTTCTAGATTAATTCCAGTGTGCTCTACTAAAATACAAGAATTTATTTTAATTTTCACATTTTCCAACACTTGCTTTATGCCCTAAAATATAATCTGTTTTGAAAAAGTTCTGTGGACTGCTGAGAAAAATGGGTATTCTACAGCTGTGGGGTGGAATATTCTGTACGTGTCTGTTATGTCCATTTGATTTATAGTGTGGTTTAACTATAATGTTTCTTTGTGGAATTTTTTGTCTGGATAACCTCTATTAGTAAGATATGGTAGTCACCCACTACTGTTGTGTTGGGATCTACCTGTGCTTTTATGTTCAGTAGCACTCATTTTATGAAATGGGATGCACTGGTGTTTGATGAGTATATGTCTACAATTGCTATATCCTTTTGATGTATTTTTCTCTTTATCAATATAAAGTGATTTTGTCTCTTCTGAATAATTTTGGTTTGACATCAGCTTTGTTCAATATAAGTATAGCTACTCCAGCTTGCTTTCAGTTTTCACTTGCTCAGAATATATTTTTCCATCTTTTTACTTTTAGGCTGTGTTTGGTTTTGCCAGTGAGGTACATTTCTTGCAGGAAGCAAAGAGTTGGGTCTAATTTTTTTTTTAAATGTAATCCATCAGTCTGTGTCTTTATACGGGAGAACTGAGACTGTGAACATCCAGAATTGTTACCGAATCATATTTACTAATTCCTGTCATTTTGTTGTTTTTGTAATCTTTCTTTCCTTGTCCTCATGTTCCTATCTTATAGCGAGATTTATTTTTCCCATATTCTAGTGGTTGTGTTTATCTTATCCTGCAGTACTGCTTGATGGTCATGAATTCCCTTAATTATGAAGGATAACTTTGCTGGATGCAGTAATCTAGGTTGACTATTTTCCTTCCGGGCTTGAAGTACATTCCAGGGCCCCCTAGCTGTTCAGGTTCCTGTTGAGAAATCTGTTGTCACTCTGACGAGTTTGCCTTTATATGTAACTTGGCACTTCTCTCTTACAGCTTTCTATATTCTGTACACATGATTTTTAACTAGAGTGTGACACAGAGGTTCTTCTGTGATGCTGTCTGCTAAGTGCTCTAAAGGACTCCTATACCCATATGTCCATCTCTTTCCCAAGATTTGGGAAATTTTCTGCTATTAATTTTTTGAATATGTTTTCTATGCTTTTAGCTTATACATCTTCTTCTTTTAAGTTTGGTCTTTTTTGATGTTCCATAGATCTTACATGTTCTGCTTGTACTTCCTATTCATTTTCCTTTGTTGTTGTCTGAATTTTCTAATTCATCTATTTTGTCTTGAAGTCCATACATTCTGTCTTCTCCTGTGATCCATTCTAGTGATGAAGTTTTTAATTGAATTTTTTGACTTATTGAACTGCCATTTCCAAAATTTCGATGTGATTTTTTTCTGAATTTCCACCTCTTTATTGAGTTATTATTTCATACCCTGCATTGTCTTCCTTATTTCATGCAGCTTTTCATTTGTATTCTCTTTAAATTAATTCAGTTATTCATTCATGTCTTCTTTGATTTTGTTGATGATTCTTATAATCATTCTTTTGAATTCTTTGAAGTTTCATCCAGTTCACTATTATTAAAATATATTATTGTGGAATTGTTAGCTTTTAGAGGAGTCATGTTGCCCTTTTTCTCTTGTGTTTCTACATTAGGTTTTACACATCCAGGGCCAAGTTACTACCTGGAGGCTTTAATCTTCCATATTATTTCAGTTGAAGTATTTGCAGTGTTCATGAGAGACTAGGTTGTGTCAGGGACAAGGTAGTTTCTCACTTCTGGATGGGAAATGTAGCTCAGGAGGCAAACACTCAGCCAAATGTGCGCCAGGCCCCATCCATAGCACCTCTCAGAGAGAAGAAAATTAATTTCAATAGCAATCACAACTAGTACATAAACCTGCTATGAAAATACAGTATTAACCAATTAAAATTATTTATCATCACAACTCTAAT